GTGTGAATCCGCTACAGGTCATCTAGTGTTGAGTATCATCTGTAATCCCCCCCCTCCTCCTCCTCCTCCTCCTCATGGTTGTCGATGTTCTCGTCGTCATGATCAGCATCAGGAGCAGCAGTAGCAGCATCGTTGTCCAGCCTCCTTGCGTGCTTGTTGCTTCTTCATGTGTACATCCTCAGCATGCTGCTGCTGCTGCTGCTGCTGCCGTCGTCACCGCTGCTGCTTCCTTTTCTTGTCTTGTTATTTGGCCTCGCTCGGCTGGTTTTGCCGTTGCCACTACTTTGAATTGACGTTTTTTCGCCATCTCTGTCTTGTGATTATTGGCAGGCTTATGATGAGCTGATTGATGAGTTTATGGTCTGCGCAAAGAAGCGATTTGGAGACAATGTGCTCGTACAGGTGAGGGAGAGTTATGGTCTCCTGGATGTGAGAGTTACAACCTACTACAAACACAAACTTGGTCTGTCAGAGCTCACTGTTTGAAATTTGAGCTCTTTTTTTTCAATGACTTCAAGAAAGGGTTGTCTCTGGCAAAGCAGGAAATGATGTGGGGGCACATTATGCAGGATTGCATCAGTTGCTGAGGACAAACCCGAAAATGACAAAGGATTGTCCGGTGATAGAGATGGAGAGAGTGGGTGAACACCGAACACCAGGCTTCAACACAGAAAGAAAAGAAGTTTAAAGAACACTATAGCTCTGACGTGTGTACTCAGGACACTGTAGTTAGAGTTACACAGTAGATGCTGACAAAACTGAAGGAAGGTCAGTGTTTGTAGGACTGAAAGCAGAGAAGAGCGAACAACGTATATGGGATAATGCAGTGTGCCCCATGCGCAGCAAATAACCGATTGTCTGTCTTCATCTGTCTATTCCGGATTCCAGATTTTCCAATATCTGCTATGATGTATGCGGCAGGTTTCTGCATCTCCTTTATTCAAAGAGAGAGAGAGAGAGAGAGAGAGAGAGAGAGAGAGAGAGAGAGAGAGAGAGAGAGAGAGAGAGAGAGAGAGAGAGAGAACTACTGGCAACACCAATAAGACCATGGCAGTTATGGTCGCTTTCTTCCCCATTCTGGTTGCTGAGGGAGTATTAATCAGTGCGGTGAATACCAGGACTGACTCTGCAATTTCCTAAAGTCAAATTGGAACAGTGTCTGGCAGTGCCTCTTGTTTGTAGCAGTGTTTTTGGCGGATGCATGACAAGGGCCGTTGGATGTCATGGCGGATTCAATTGAAGTGATCTGCACAATTTCTGTTTAGGCTACATGGCGCCATCGCCGCCATGTACACATTGACTTTGAATCGGGTAATTAAATCAATATAAATGAATTGAATTCAATTCAAAATTCAAATTGAAAGAAAAAAATTTGATCTTGAACTGAGATTGGGATATTATGCTAACTTGAACCGTTAGAATCTCCATTAAGTATTTTTAATAATTTTTAATAATTTTTTTTATTAGCTGCTACCTGTACTTGGGTGTGCAGTATGTAGCTGCTGCTGCAAATTCTGGCATTAATGTGTATCATCATGATATAATTGTTATCGTCCCGTTCATATCGAGGCATGAACTTGCATCAACTTTGAAGTTCATGCCATGATCTGGAACAGCAGCGACATTCTTTTCCCCTTCATCTTGCCAATCCTTTCGCGCCTGCTTCATGCTGTGATCTTTCGCCTCTAAACTTTTAAAAGCTACTGAAAGTTTTAAAAAGTAAAAAAAAATAAATTATTACATCCATTCAGTCTCTTTCGGGATTCAAACTCATGATCTGTTTAGACACCACAAAGCCAATCATCTGTCACCTGCTCCGCGATCTGGTTTTGTTGCGCCTTGTTTAGAAATCCTCTCTTCTTTTCTCCACCCCTGCTACATGCATTGTACCAGTTCAGTATTGAACTCTTCTTCTTGTGTTACTACTACTGTCTTCCCTCGAATAGAACCCATGTCACACGGTTATTATAGCTGTCTGTATTTGGGGAACTTTCAGTCTACAAACCGAAATAATGACAGGGCGTTCTATTCTGGAGAAGACGGGTAGTTGATCCTGTATGTATGATGCCCGGAAGAATCTGTCAAGGCGTTTCGTCAGTTTGCGAGAGTATTGCCTTGTCCGTCGGTGCTTTGTCGGCAGCAGCAGCACCCAAGACATTTCTTCTACTATCATAAAATATGCGAGAATATTGTCTCGTCAGTCAGTGATTTGTCAGCAGCAGCACCGGAGACCTTTTCTTTGACTATCATATATGTCCACATCCATCCCCCTGCTTCTTCTCCTTTCTCTGTTTGAGCATACAGTTCACTGGGCGACATCAGTGCGTAACGGCTGTTTTGTTTTTTAACTGCTGGTTTGGCTTGTGTGCATACCCAGTTCGAAGACTTCGCCAATCACAACGCTTTCCGGCTGCTGTTTCAGTATCGAGGGAGCCATCTTGTGTTCAACGACGACATTCAGGCATGTTTTTTCCTTGTTTTTTTTCCATTGCCACAAGTTTATCCATCTTCTGTTCTTCCACATGACTCAGCTTGCAAGTAGGGAGCGGTGAATTCTCCGTCGACTTCTTATTTGCTTTGGAGATCCACTCCAATCCCTGATACGCCCCCC